GAGTGGCTCTCAGTGCAACACAGGGAAGTTAGGACAGTGTTCTGAAGAGCACTTTGGGGGGAGGGAGAGGTCAGCAGGGTCAGTCACAGAGGGGTCCAGAGAGTGGAGGGCAGGAGAAAGCCGCAGAGTGATCTAGAAGGGCTCCAAACAGCAGTTCAGGAGCCATTATCAGACGGGCCATAGGTGGGTGACGTCTTCTTTTTATCTCAGAAAAAAAAGTTCTTTGTCTTTTTTTTCTGTTTATGGAAGTGAGATATATTTATTCTTTTAAATAAGACAATATACAGAAAATCATAAAATAGAAGATAAAAATCACCCACAATTTATAACTCAGAGATAAACCACCCTGCTGTCAAACTTGTTTTATTCTAAACACATATAAAGGGGATTTGCTATACGTACTATTTTAAAGCCTGCTTTCTTTCTTTTTTTTTTTTTCTTTTTTTTAAATATATCTTTATTGATTTCAGAGAGAGGAAAGGAGATGGAGAGAGAGATATAGAAACATCAATGATGAGAGTCATTGGTTGGCTACAGCCCGCAACCTGGACATGTGCCCTGACCGGGAATCGAACCCCGATCGCCTGGATCCTAGGTCGATGCTCAACCGCTGAGGCCCGCCCGGCTGTCTTTCTTTCTTAATGTGTGGCGTACATGTCCTTCCATTTGTCTCTGTGTATAAACCAGCAGCAGCACTTGAATGGCTGTCTACAATTCCACTGTACAGAAATGTCATTTTTAACCAGTCCCCTAATGATAGACATTAGCTTGTTTCCAGTTTTGTACTATTACAAACAACTCCATATATTTTACTTATTGGTTCCATTTTTTCCTTGAGATAAATTTTTAGAAAGGAAATTACCAGATGAATTGCTTAAAGTCTTTTAAAGCTTTCCTAGCTCCTGTTCTTTGTTTTTCAGCCCCAGAGACACCCTTCGGGCTCCCCAGGAATTGTGTCCACCAACCTCCCTTCCTATCAGAAGAGGTCCCTGCTGCACCTCCCAGACAGCAGTGCGGGGGAGGAGCGGAATGCCAGCCCCTCCCCATCCAACGGCGTGGACCGCAGGGCGGCCACACTCTACAGCCAGTACACGCCCAAGAATGAGGAGCACAGGTGATGTGGGGCCCTGCGGGGCACTGAAGGGCTGTCCCCGCCTGCCTCTGCCGTACGACAGCCCTGTCTACGCCAGGCCAGTGCAGTGCAGCCCTCTGTAGGCTTAAATGGATCTGCTTTGAGTCTTTGTTTCTGTTTTAAATGCTTAGTGGCTCTTTGAAGAGGAAGAATCAAAATCCCAACTAGAATAAGGCCAAGAGGTTGTAGTTATTTGTGGTTGATCCTGGTGGTGGTGACCTCCTGTCTACAGACCTGAGGGATTCTGTGTTAGTCAGCACTCCTTCGGTGGCAAACAGAAACCCCATTCGTGCTCACTCACACAGAAGGGATTGACTCACGTAAACTGGGGAGGCTGAGGACCTGCCCGTTTCTCACGGTCTTCAGGCTCTGTCCCTGGGCCAGCTCTGTGTCCTCCAGGGATGCGTCAGTCCCAGGATGACACCAAAGGTGGCCACGGAGAGTGCCACATTTGGTCATTCCAGCAGAGCGAATTCAAACTGGGTTTTTTTTCTTTTCTTTGGGTCATTTGAAGGAAATAGAGATTTAACAAACAAAATCAGCAGACATCCCTTTATAGAATTTTTTAAATGAAACATCAAAATTAACTGCCCTGTTGTCATTTCTTCTAGGTCCTTTGAAGGAACACTTTACAAAAGAGGGGCTTTGCTAAAAGGTTGGAAGCCCCGCTGGTTCGTTCTGGATGTAACAAAACACCAGGTAATGCTCTCCCAGTCTACAGAAATCACTCTCTCGGTGAGCTCAGTGCCCAGCTACTGTGTGACTGTCCACAGCTAGATCACCCCTTATGTACCGACTGCTCTCCTGAGACCTCATATGCTGCCTGGGGCTCCTCCAAGGACCCGGCCTATCCTGAGCGAGGGCAGCAGCTTCCGAGGCGAGCTCCACAGTGCTCTGCCTAGTGTGTGCAGGCGGAGACAGTGACAATTGAGCCCAGAGCAGTAAGAGCAATAGACTCTGCTTTCAATGCTCAAGTATCTCCTTCTCGTAAACCCATGCCGGAGGAACCTGAGGTTTTCCACATGCTACCTGTTATGTGCACATATAGAGCCTGCACCTATGAGTGCTCCCAGAATGCACACTACCTTCTACCGTGTGGCATAAAGCATCCAGGCACAGCTGAGGGCATCATTTATTCGACTGCACAAGTTACTGAAGAAGGCATTATTACTCCTCAGAGATGGCAGCAACAGGGGAGGGGGCCCAAAACAGGCAGAAGGGCACAGGCCCACCCAAACCTGGAATCCACTGTGAGCAAGCGCTAGACCGACCTCACTGACATGTTGGGAAGTCTTGGCCTGTTGTTAGGTTCTTAGCTGTTGCTGTGGAAGCCCACCCATCCTTAGTGTAGTAAACGTGGCTCCAGTGATCTTGGGAGAGGGACCCCTACCCAAACCCCAGTCCCTCTGCACCCTTGCTGGTGAGAGTGGCATGGCCTCCTCTATCTTGCCTGCAGGCTTCACGCTATCTTGAACTGATGAGTCAGCCTTGAGGCAGAGGGCTGTGCATTTTGACTCTCAGTGCATTCGTCTCTAAAATGGAGCCTGTTGAGAACAATAAGAACTGTTACCCCCCTGCAGTGCTCTGTGTGGACCCGCATCTGGAAAACTCCTTCCAGGTGAAGATGCTATGTGGAGATCACCTTTCCCTCTGCTCAAAGGGTTCCATAAAGGTTACACAGTTTTGTGGAAAAATGTAGAGAATTTATTCAAATATGCAATGCAAGCCCTTTCTAGGGGGCTGTGCTTTAAAATAACAGAGTCTCTGAAATCAGAGTCAACGCTGTAGAAAAGTTCCATTAAACCACTAAATATAATACAGGAGAATGTCATAACTTTTCTGTAATTTACAATTACATCAAATTATATTTGTGTTCTTTCCAGTCCTGTGGATGGCTTTAGCATGAAAGGTATGCAGATTTTCCATTTAGCTCTACTTGTCCATGCCAAGGGGGAGACAGAAGAAAAGTCTGAGGCCAGAGCCTCAGTGGTGGGGTCACCAGGCACTCCTGCTGTGTAAGGTAGAGAGGGAAGCCAGACTGTGGGCCAAGGCTTTTCACCAGCCATCTCTTTCATTTAAAAAAAAATTATTTATTTTTTTATTCCAAATGTAATATATGGTTTTTATACCAAATTCAAACACCTCATAAAGATGGGATAGTCTTCTGTGCCCCCAACTCCCAGAGATAACTACTAACCATTTGGTATATGTTGATCTAAAAATAATTTTATACATATATGTGTAGAGGTATATGTACATATGTATAGTTCGAGTTGCTAGGAAGGTTAAATGAGTTGTGTACAAAACAGTCAGTCTTGGAACCAGTAACCAGTCAATCAGATGTTATGCTACTTAATCTGTTTTTCACACTTACTTTATATCTACGTGCTAATTGGCAACTTCCTTTTTTATGTAATATATTTGAACATATTTTTCTACCAGCTTATACAGATCTTTATCATTTTTGAAAAGCTGTGTAGTATTCCATAGCATTGCTGCTCGGCTATGTAATCAACCAACACCCATTGAGAGACAGATACATCTTTTCAGTTTTGAGCTGATAAAAACAGTGAAGGAAACTATAATGTGTGTTTGCACGCTTGCAGGAGTTTCCTATAGAACAAGTTCTAGAGGTGAGAAGGGTGTGTCAATGAGCATCAACATTTTAAGTTTTAGTTGATATTGCCAAATTGTTCTCCAAAAATCTGACAAATTATATTCCCACTTAAGAGTATGTAGTGCTTTGCACTCAACCTGGATATTATTGGCCATGGTTAGTATTTCTTAATATAAGTGACAGTGAGATCTCATGATTTCACTCCCTATTCTTTGGGTCAGTGAAGTTGCTCATCTTTGCAGGTGTTTATAGGTCATTGTGTTTCTTCTGTGACTTCCTTGTTGAGATCCTGTGACCATTTTTTTACTAGATCCTTTATCTTTTTATCAGTTTCTAGGAATTCTGTATATTCTAAACATTAACCCCTTTTTATATGTTATATTGTCTTTACAGCTGTTAGTTGACATTTAATTTTATTTTTTAATATGTAATTCACTTATTCACATTTCAAAAAATACGTTTTTTTTCTTCTTTCTCTTGGCCACCTAGTATTTTTTCCCTCGAGGCAACCAGTGTTTTTCATTTCTTGTCTATCCTTCCCGGCCTAGTTCAGATAGATACAAAGGGACTTGTTCAGACACAGTTTGAAAAGCCAGGCCCTTCTCCCTGTCTGTGTCCCTTACATGCCGTCTGCATGCTTTTGGTTCCAGCTGCGATACTATGACTCGGGCGAGGACACCAGCTGTAAAGGCCACATTGATCTGGCTGAAGTGGAGATGGTTGTCCCTGCAGGCCCCAGCATGGGAGCCCCGAAGCACACAAGCGACAAGGCTTTCTTTGATGTGAGTTGATCTTACTTGTCTTTTTCTGTCTCTGTCTACACATGATCCTTATCATCCACCTCCCTCCGAGAATTGTGGCGCCTCAGAGCAGTTGGTGGTGACTGTACATGTGTCGCAGACCCCTGGCTATGAGAATTGCTACAGAACTTGAACTTAGCACTGTGATCCCAGCCCGACTTCTCCCAGCTACCTGTAAGTCTCAGGAGCTGTATGTTGCTTTGCACAAAGGGTTCCTTCAAAAGGTGTCCAGTGATGCCCAGTCGGGCGTGGCTCAGCGGTTGAGCATAGACCTAGGATCCAGGAGATCGCGGTTCGATTCCCAGTCAGGGCACATGCCCGGGTTGCGGGCTCATTCCCCAGTCGGGGGCGTGCAGTGATCAGTGACTCTCTCATCATTAATGTTTCCCTCTCTCTCCCTCTCCCTTTCTCTCCCTGAAATCAATAAAGATATATTAAAAAAAAAAAAGTGTCCAGTCACATGTGAAAGCAAATGAACTTATGAACTTCTTGTTATAGTTATTTCACTCACCATCTGCTGTCAAAAACAGGTGCTACTTCCTTGGTTTCTGGTGTCTTCATGCTTGACCATCCACAAAAATTGTCCTAGTCACACATGGTGGCTGTCTACCAAACATTCAGCAGCTATTAGGAGGCCTTTTGTGATCCACATAATAAGGAACTTATCTAGTCCCCAGAGCCAAGCAAGGCTTCATAAAGGGCAGAGGTCACACTCCAGGGCCCAGCTCAGGCCATGAGGTTGCATCCCTAACTCTAGATTTCCAGTGTAGCCCCAACTGGAGACTGGAGAGTAGAGGAGATGGAAATGGGAAACAAAAGCCAATTTCATCACAGTGTGGATGAATCTGGGGCTTTGCCGAGGAGTGCGGGGCGCTTCCTGGGCACCTGCTCTGCCTTGTGTCAGTGCGTGGGACAGGCCAAAGGCTCCAGCCATTCTGACGCTCCTCTGTCAAGGAAGTTCTCAGGAGGACGCCAAGTAAGGTTGTCCTAGAGTGTCTCCTTTTTCTGCCAGTACCCTCTGGCAGTTGTTAATCACCATAGGGATGATAATCGTCCCCTGTAACTTTGGGGACTAGAAAAGTAAAGTGAGTACAAAGGCACTGGCGTATTCAGTAGTGGAGGGAAGAGAAGATTCAGAGGTTCTGGGCATTTTGGAAATGAAAGGTCACAGGGACGGACTCGCTCACTTGCCCGACACCTTAGAACAGGCCTGCCCTTCATCTCTCATTCTCTTCATTTGGTTTTGCAGCTCAAGACCAGCAAACGCGTGTATAACTTCTGTGCCCAGGATGGACAGAGTGCCCAACAGTGGATGGACCGGATCCAGAGCTGTATCTCTGACGCCTGATGCCCGTGGTCCACTCAAGCAGAAGAGGGAGGAAAGACTTGTGCTCTGAATAGGGAGAGTGCATGAGTCTTTGAGGAGCTGGCAGCTTCCTGTTCAACTCTAGTGAGTCAGCCCAGAGCCTGCCATTCTGTCTTACCCACCCCCTCCTTCAGCATTGCTGCGTCTGCTTGGCCTGAGTGGATGTGTCACATCCACTCCAGGTCTGGTCAAGGGCCCCAGGCACTCCCTGTATCTTGCACTAGATTGTTCTAACAAGGTCTCAGTGGGTAGGGTCAGAAGAATGCCTCCTGAGCCAGCTAGCACGTACCCCCAGGCAAATGGCTGCCACCTACCTGGGTCCTTCTTCATGAAAGCTAGATCCTCCTTGTTCTCCAAGGTCAAAACTCCCTTGGAGAGCTTTCTGACTAGCAAACATCGAAACCCTCCAAGATTGTTATGTTCTGCACAAAATAGGTTTCCCATCAGCGGCTCCTGCTCGTAGCTCCCAGCCTTAGAGATGCTCAGCCATCTGATGCTGCGAAAGATCCTTCTCTGATCTCTGCCCGGCGTCAGGCTTCACAACAACATTGGTGCTCAGTGGGGGCAGAGTGGGGACGCAGGACTATCCTGATGGACAGACTGTCCAGGGAATGATGTAACAATGACCAAGCCAGTACAGGGAAGTACTGCTTCCAGAACACTGGGTTCTCCAGGACAAAGATGCCCTGAGGACCCAGGACCTCATGTTCCCACGGGTTCTGCTCCCTGGCAGCTTCTTACACGAGATAACCTGCAGGCGGCTGAACGCACTAACCTGCAAAACAAACTTGCGCTGACCTCCTGATGAAGCGGAGATGGTGGAAGAGAGCCAGCTGTTCATGACCTCACCACACAGGTGACGAGGGCTTTGGCCGCAGCACATGGCACGATTAGAAACCCAACGACACTTCAGTATGCGAACCGTAGGGACTGCTTTTAGATGTCCCTTACCTTTATAACCTATGTTTACTCAGCTTAGGATCTGAGGAAGCTGTTTGTTCTCAGGAACAGAGCAGCTCCGCCAGGGCCCCTGCAGCCAGGGAGGCAGGGAGCCTGAGCAGGACATTTGCTTTGAACTGTTAATATGTTAAATACCAAACTAATATTTCAAAAATATGTATATATGATTGCTATATCCTTGTTCTTCAGATAGTCTGCTTATAATTTAATATAAAATTTTAACTGGTTCGGTCATAAGATTTCCATAATGAAATGGTTCCCTTTTTACAAACTAAAAGACCTCTTTCTCTTTGTAGGTTTAAAAGAAATCAGATTTTCAAATTTAAAATGATCTACACACTAGGAAATAGAACTGTGACATATAAGAGATTGAGGGAATAATAAGAATGAAGGATTTTTCTATCATTTTCATTTTATAAATTGCCACCTGTGAAAATGGTTTTTGCACATTCTTTGTATTTTTCTTTGTATATGAAATAATTTTTGTACTATGTAAGATACAGAGCCCACTGTACCCTCAGCCATTGGAGACTGTACACAGTGCTGCTTTTGTAACTGGATTCTTTTAACTTTCATAAAGGCGCCCCATGCCTTATGTTCACTAACCACCTGGGATTAAATTTGTTTCTTAAGAAAGAGCTCCCTCATTTTTTGAGATGAAGTCATGCTACATAGCACCCGGGGACAGCACTCAGGACTCACACATGGGGCCAGAGGTTTCCCAGAAAGCACAGCAGGACCACTGCAGACCTTGTTTTGTTACTGTCATCACTGCCCTTCGCTCAGAAGGAACCACAGACACTGGACAGGCTGCCGTGAGCTTCCAGGTTCTAGACACACGGCTGCAGAGTTCAGGTGAGGCCTGCGGCCAGCACTCCTGGCCTGTGCCCTGTTGAGCTGGGTGAGACTGGTTAAGTCCTTTACTGCTTTGGGGTCACACTTCTACCACCTGTGGCATGTGGCAATTTGTGAGGATTTTAGGCAAGAGAAATTGAGTTCTAGTTTCAAAGCAAAATTTTCTGCTTCAGGAACTTGTTGAACAGCACAAATGAGGGTTCCGTGATTTCTGCTCTGGACAGCCTTCCCCTAGTAAGCCCTTGGAGTTGGCCTTGGTGACCTTGGCCACATCTCAGCCTGGAGCCAACAGAGTGCAGGTTCTCGTCTCAGAGCTGAACGTCTAAGTTTTTTGATATCTGGAGCCCTCTCAGAGCCAGGCGGAAGGGGTCCCCGACAGCCACAAGGGCTCCAGAGGAGGCAGTGACACCCCTGCTTGAGCCTTCAGATTTCCTCAGTCTAAAGGACTCCTGTGATCCACACACAGGCCCTCCAGCCTCTCTCTATACTGGCCCTGGGACCTGCCACCTGCCCCTGCAGTGTCCCTGACATTCCATCAGGAGCTGTGGTCACAGCATCTTAGCTGTGAGGGGAGCAGAGCACTGAGCTCCAAGGAAGAAAGATGAGGACCTGGCGCCCCTCAGGAGGTTTAGTAGGGCCCCTCACCTGTGCTCCTGTGACAAAGCCTGTCTCAGTTCAGGCTCTGGAGAGATGCAGACCCAAGTGGCACATTAGTACAAGTCCCGCCTCCCCACCCTTTGCCAAAGTTCTTCTTTCTCCTCTCCCAAACCCCTCCACCCTGTGTCTCCATTCCAGAGCTGGAGCTGAACTGTTAATGGCGGGTTTGCTTCTCAGTGGAAACTGACAGTTCTAGATATTTTGTCAATAGTTCTTTTCAGAGTTAAGTAACCTCATTATCCCATAAAGAATTTCTGAAAGATTTCAGGCTGTTAACTATTGGAAATGCCCTCAGCAATAGCAACCGGAAATATGAATTTATCGAAGAATAAAGCTGTACTGATGAAGGGCTGGGGCTCAGAGCAGCACTGTGAGAATTATAACCCCAGCCACTCATGTATCTTTCTTTGAAAGCAAAAAGAAATAGGTTAATTTTAATACCACTTTATTGTTTTGCCCTGGCCTGTTTGGGTCAGTGGTTAGAGCGTCCACCCAAGGACTGAAGGATCCCGGTTCGGTTCCGGCCAAGGGCACATACCTAGGTTGCAGGCTCAATACCCGGTTGGGACACGTGCAGGAGGCAACGAGTCAAGGTGTCTCTCACATCGATGTTTCTCTCTCTCTCTCCCTTCCCCCCCCCCGACTCTCTATGAAAAGCAATGGAAAAAATATCCTCTGGTGAGGATTAAAAATAGTTTATTTTTAATATATTTTATTTAACCCAATATATCAAAATTATCATTTAAACATGTAACCAATACAAAAAAATTATTAATGAAATACTTTATATCTTTGTTCGTACTGAATCTTCAAAATCCAGAGTTTATTTTACACTTGCGGCACATCTCGGCCTGGATTGGCCTGTTACCTTCTTTCTGACAGTTCCCACGCCAGATGCGCGACCTTTTTCCACAGCAGTTCTCCAGCACCAGCTGGGTGTCCAAAGAGCCCGTTCAGTTTGACACTTAACTCCCCAGAGTCAGCGCAGACTCCACAGTCAAGGGTTTGGTCCCACAGGCTGCCCCCGCTTCAGATTCCAGTTCAAGTCCTGGGGCCACCTGCACTTCTGGCAAACTGGCTATAAATCTGGGGTCCCCATTACCCCCTCTTTGGGTTCTCTTAATTCTCCAGAAAAACTCAGAACTCAGGGAAACACTTTACTTATGTTTACTATAAAGGATAGTTTGTTATAAAGAATAGCACTGAGCAGCAGCCGGATGGAAGAGGAACTCGGCGAGGTGCAGAGAAGGGAGTGGTGCAGAGCCTCCACACCCGGTGGGCGTGCCACCCTCCCAGCTTCCCTCCTTTCCCCAGAAGCTGAAAATTCCACCCTCTACTCACACATTTGGTCTTTCATCTGGTGACCAGCCCCCATCCTGAAGCTCTGGGGGCCCCACCCTAGTCACTATTTACATATATGCAGGTGAAAAGCAAAAGACAGTCCCATCAGGAAATTCTAAGGGTTTTGGGGACTCAATGCCAGGAACCCAGGACAAAGACCACATGTTTAAATTATTACACGCTGTTTCCAGTGCTACCAGACTAAACAATGCAGGTTTAGAGCAAATAACCTGCTCAGAGCAGAACCTGCAGTGGGAGGAAGAGAGCTGGGTGCCAGGTCTACTCTAATTCACTGAATGACCTTAAACCAGTCCCTTTGCTGGGCTTGACCTATAAAATGAAGGACCCAGGTAATCTGTAATTTTGTGATTCCAACTGTTTACATTTGCAAAACCTCAGGTTCCAAACTGAGAGTTAAAGGATTTTCTGGAAAAGACCAAATCATCAAAATAGTGTTTTCTCAGATTGTAATACACATATGAATCATCTTGCTAAAAAGGATTCTGATGATGTAGGTCTGGGCCGGGGCTGGACATGCTGTGTTTCTGACTAGCTCCCAGGTGGTGGCAGCTCCTGGTCCAAGAACCACACTTAACAGAGATGTGTTAGTCCTGGTCCTCTGGGAAGCAGACACCAAATGGGAAGGAAAGCAGGGAGGCTAGCCAGAGACCAGGATGCAAATGCGATCTTTGTGAAGGAGAAGGAAGGGGAGGAAGGTGGGCAGAGAAGACTTGGACCGCAGTGCAGCTCTAAGGAAATTCAGCAAGGCGGTGTGAAGTCCTCAAGCCATCAGGAGTCATCAGAGGATCCACATCTCCCAGAATTGGCCTGCCTGGGGTCCCTGGTCACTCCCCCATCAGCAGGCAGCCACCCGTGGGAAGCATGGTCTCATTGCAGCTAAGTAACAATTTGAGCACGGCTGCTGGGCCAGCAGTCATAATCCCTGCAGCCGGGAACCTGAGGGAGGTCTTTGCATGGTGGTCACCATCCACCCCTTGTGCCACACAGGTTCAGAGAGAGCTTCCCCATTTCCCTTGGGCCTCCATTCCTAAGGGAAACAGAATGAGGGAGGTCATAGGCCTAACTACCCCACGCCCACCATCAATGCAGTTAATCTCCTCTCCCTTCTCCGTCCACTCTGAATCTCACCCTCAACAGCCTGGGGAGACGTTGATGGATTTACATGTGCCCCAAGGGTCCTAAGTGCTTTGTAATCAAACCTTCTTAGGTTGGGGTTGCTGCGTGTGTCCTTTTGCAATCACGGTGTGGGTTACCTGGAGGTGCCCAGTGGGTCATGGGGTTCCGCACACTTTTCTTCCAGCCCCTGTTATGTAAAAGCAGCCCCACATCTTCCTGCTGATCAAATAACCCTCTTGGTCCCAGGGCACAGGGATCCAAAGTGCACCAAGGGCAGCTGCAAACTGTAGTCCCACAGGACCCTCGCTGTGTCCCCTCAGATGCTGTGCTCTGTGGACGCCTCGCCTTTGCACCAGGCGAAGCCCAGGATGTGCTGACTGAGGCTGTGGTCAGGAAAGGAAACCCAGACCCGGAATGGGTCTCCATCCAGATGAAGACCGCGCTGGCCCTTCCAGGACTGAAGGGGCCAGTGTAGTTGACTTGGGCCCGAGGTGAGTCGGTGGCCTCGAGAAGTAGCCACATCGGGGCTCAGCACTGGTCTCTGCTCCCGATGGGCTGGCTGGACACTGAGGCAGCGGGACCTGGAATGGCCTTGGTATGTGGGAGTCTGAGCCGTTGGGCCCATGTTACCCGTTTTATGGCTTCTGGCTCTGTGACTGCGGCCACTCCACTCATATGCCCAGTGACAAGGACCGCCGAGTGTAGCCATCGAGTCGTCCTGTTCGTTTATTTCCCGGCTCCTGTGTGGGGGGCGCTTTCCAACGGACATTACCATGAGGCGCCAGAATCTCCGCGCTCATGCTTCCTCTGCATGTCACACCTCCCCCACACCTCCTTGCCCCCATCTTCCAGTCCTGCCTCGCCAGGCCCCCGACCATGTCCTCTGCTCGCAGCTCCACCTGATGGCAGAATTTTCTCTTCCCCTTACACCTTGGTCATGCGGCCACTGTGCCGTGTCAGCCCATTTACAAACCAAGCTCTGATTTTCCCTCTTCTCTTAGCTGTTTGTACAGGACCCTATCTGTGACCAAAGGTACAAGCCAGGGGACAGGCTCTGGCTACATCCTCACGCAGTTTACTTGCGCCGTCAGCCTGCTCAGGCTCAGTCCTGGAGGTAGCCTTTCCATGTGGTGACCGACTGCTGCTGGGCCCATCTGACCTCATGACCTGATGCACCCAGGAGACCCAGCTCCCACGGGCGGTTTCAGGTGTCCCACCTGCTGAGCCATGGTCACCTGTTCTGCCAGAGCTGAGAGACATGCCAGAACTTGTTTCTCGGAAGGCGTGCCATCCTGCTGCCTACGGCCTGGCTTGCTTTGTGATTCTCCCGCTGGGACTTGCCACAAGCTCCATACGACATCTGTTTCTTTTCCCAAGACTGACACCCCTGACACCCAAGAGTCTGCCAGCCCTGTGACCAGCCCTGCAGGACTGCCTGCACCGAATCTGCACCTTCGGCAGAGCCTCTTCCTGTGAGGGGACCCACCTGCAGCCGGCAGCCTCCATGTCACCTAGAAAATGTGTCCTTTCTAACCCCAAAGAAGGGTACCATGCTCTGTTTTCTTCACTGTGCTAAGAGCTAGAAGAGGCGGCAATTTCTTTGACCTGGGCGGGGATATCCCGGCACACCCCTAACCACTGACCCC